GAAATAGAAAGAGAAGAAGGAACACAGGCATAAAGAATAATAATGGCAACAAACAAGTACCTATCTCTATATATGAAAGCCTAATATGCTAATTGTCCCTCCAATTGTTCGACCAGTTGCTATGATGCACACTGACCACCAGGGGGCAGATGCTCCAACTGGAAGGTTAGCTGTTGCTGGGGTCCAGCTAATTGGGACTGGGCAAGATGGGACGGACATGCCCAGGAGCCCTCCCCTGGTCCCTCCCCGGCCCTGATCATGCACCGGTGGGGTCCCTCGGCCTGTCCTGCACCCTCTCACAAATTGGGACCCCTCAGGGGATGTCAGAGAGCCAGTTTTGGCCCAATGCCTGGGGCTGGGATAAGTGGGAGCAGTTCCTCCCTGAATGCCTGCAGGCCAGGCCGAGGGACCCCACCAGTGCATGAATCCATGCACCGGGCCTCTAGTCAATAATAACCTTAAATGTAAATGGTTAAATGCTCCAATCAAAAAACATAGGGTAGCTGAATGACAATATGACCCATATATTTGCTGTCTACAAGAGACCCACCTCAGAATAAAGGACTCACACAGACTGATAATAAAGGATAGAAAAAAAGTAGCAATACTTATGTATGAAAAAATAGACCTCAAAGTGAAGGCCATAACAAGCAATAAGGAGGGACACTTGATACTAAAGGGAGCAATTCAACAAGAGGATATAACTCTGGTAAACATATATGCACCCAATACAGGAGCACCCAAATACATAAAAAAAACTTCTGGAAGATATCAAAGGAGAGATCGACAGCAATGCTATCATAGTAGGGGACTTTAATACCCATTAACACCACTGGATAAACCCTCTAAACAAAAAAAATCAGCAAAGAAACAGCAATTCTAAATGACTCGCTAGATCAGATGGAATTAATTGACATCTTCAGAACATTTCACCCCAAAGCCACAGAATATACATTCTTCTCAAGTGCACATGGGACATTTTCAAAGATAGACCACATATTGGAACAAAGGCAAAATCTCTTCAAATTCAAGAAGATAGAAATCATATCAAGTATCTTCTCAGATCACAATGGCATAAAATTAGAAATCAACTGCAATAAAAATAATAAAAAATGAAACACTTGGAGGCTAAATAGCATGCTATTAAACAATAATTGTGTTACCAAAGAAATCAAAGAAAAAATAAAAAGTATTCTGGAAACAAAAGACAATGAAAACACAACAATCCAAAATCTATGGGACACAGTGAAAGCAGTCCTGAGAGGGAAGTTCATAGCTCTACAGGCCTACCTCAAAAAACAAGAAAAAATGATAATAAATTATCTAATCCTACAACTTAAAGAACTAGAAAGAGAGCAATAAGAAAAGCCCAGAGTGAGCAGAAGGAAATAAATAATAAAGATCGGAGTGGAAATCAATGACAGATATATATATATATGAAAGATTAATAAAACCAAGATCTGGTTCTTTGAAAAGATAAACAAAATTGATGAACCTCTAGGCAGGCTCACGCCGAAACAAAGAGAGAGGATCTAAATAAACAAAATCAGAAATGAAAGAGATGAAGTAACAACCAACCCCACAGACATAAAAAGGATTGTAAAAAAATACTACAAACAACTCTACCACAACAAACTGGACAACCTAGATGAAATGGACATATTCTTAGAAAAATACAAACTTCCAAAACTGAATCAAGAAGAATCAAAAAAAGCTCTTTCTATGAGGCCAGCATTACCCTAATCCCAAAACCAAATTAAGACACCAAAAGGAAAAAGAACTACCAGCCAATATTCCTGATGAACATAGATGCTAAAATCCTCAACAACATTCTAGCAAATTGGATTCAGCATTACATCAGAAAGATCATACACCATGACCAATTGGGATTTATTCCAGGATGCAAGGCTGGTACAATATCTGCAAATCAATAAACATTATACATCACATAAACAAATTGAGAGACAAAACACATAATCATATCAATTGAAGAAAAAGCATTTGACAAAATCCAACACCCTTTCTTGATAAAAACTCTCAGCAAAGTGGGAATAGAGGGATCATATCTCAACATAATAAAAGCCTTATATGACAAACTTATAGCCAACATCACACTCAATGGGCAAAAACTAAAACCATTTCCCCTAAGACAGGAACAACTCCTGTCCAACATAGAATTGGAAGTGCTAACCATAGCGATCAAACAAGAAGAAGAAATAAAAGGCATCCAAATTGGAAAAGAAGAAGTAAAACTGTCTCCCACTGCATGGGAGAACATATTTTCTAATGCTATTTCAGATAAGGGTTTAATTCAGCGATTCTCAACCTGTGGGTCGCGACCCCTTGGGGGTCGAACAACCCTTTCACAGGGGTCGCCTAAGACCATCGGAAAACACATATATAATTACATATTGTTTTTGTGATTAATCACTATGCTTTAATTATGTTCAATTTGTAACAATGAAATTGGGGGTCACCACAACATGAGGAACTGTATTAAAGGGTCGCGGCATTAGGAAGGTTGAGAACCACTGATCTAAGAGAAAGGAAAGCATATGTCCCTACAAAGACACAAATTTTCATAGCAACATTCTCTGCAATAGCTAAAAAACTAGAAACATTCCAAATCCCACCTCAAAGTAAATGGATATGCAAATGATGTTATATGCATACAATGGTACTATTCGGCAATAACAAGGAATGAAATATCGATACCCACAACAACATGACTGAAAAAAATCCAGACCAAAGCCCTGATAGGGTGGCTCATTTGGTTGGAGCGTCGTCCTGTACACCACAATGTTGCGGGTTCTATTCCCAATGAGGGCATATATTTAGGTTGTGGGTTTGATCCCCAGTCAGGGTGTGAATGGGAGGCAACTAATCAATGTTTCTCTCCCTGCCTCCTCTCTCTATAAAAATCAATAAAAACATATCCTTGGGTGAGTATGAAAAAAAGAATACAGACCAAAAAATAGTACAAATTGCATTATTCCATTTACTTAAAAATCTAGAGAATGCAAACTAATCTATAGTGACAGAGAGCAGGTAGCCGGTCTCCTTTCCTCTCTCTCAAATCAATAAAAACATTTTTTTAAAGTTTTAAAATTGACTGTGGTGATGGTTGCACATATCTGTAAATATACTAAAAACACTGAATTGTACACTTTAAATGGGTGAATTGTGTGGTTTGTGAGTCATAGCTCAATGAAGCTGTTAAAAAAAATCTGTCTGCTCTTTTTAATGTATTTTTTTATTGATATCAGAGAGGAAGGGCGAGGGAAAGAGAGATAGAAACATTAATGATGAGAGAGAATCATTGATTAGCTGCCTCCTGTGAGTCCCGCACAGGGGATTGAGCCAGCAACCCAGGCATGTATCTGGACTGGAATCAAACCATGACCTCCTGGTTCACACGTCAACACCTACCCACTGAACCACGTCAGCCAGGTTCTAGCTCTTTTTTTAAAAAGATGTATATATTAATTTAACAAACTTTTTAACCTAGAGAACAGGAGATACTATAGGCAAGTATGTGATTAAAAAGTGAAAAGAGCCTGGCTGGTGTGGCTCAATGGTTGAGCGGCAACCTATGACTCAGAAGGTCACAGTTTGATTCCCAATCAAGGCACATGTCCGGGTATGGGCTTGATCCCCAGTAGGGGGCATGCAGGAGGCAGCCAATCAATGATTCTCTCTCATCATTAATGTTTCTATCTCCCTCTCCCTTCATCTCTGAAATCAATAAAAATATATTTTAAAAAAGAAATAGTCTTGCCCTAACCGGTTTGGCTCAGTGGATAGAGCGTCAGTCTGCGGACTGAAGGGTCCCAGGTTCTATTCCGGTCAAGGGCATGTACCTTGGTTGCGGGCACATCCCCAGTAGAGGGTGTGAGGGAGGCAACTGATCGGTGTTTCTCTTTCATTGATGTTTCTAACTCTCTATCCCTCTCCCTTCCTCTCTGTAAAAAAATCAATAAAATATGTATTTTTAAAAAAGAAAATAGTCTTTCTCTCAAAGATGATTTGAGGATTATTGGAGATAATGTGTACAATGCCCTTGGCACAGTCCATAGCACATGGTGAGCACCCAATACATGTGGATTATCATTATTAAGGTATATATGGTACCCAAACTACAATAAAGGGCCCAAGCTAATGGCAGAAAGGCAATTTCTATCCTGTACACTTTGCTTAAGAAAGTATGGCAACACTTAAAATATTTATAAACTAGAGGCTGGATGCACAAAATTCATGCAAGAGTAGGTCTTCGAAGCCCCGGCTGCCTTGGCCCTCACAGCCTCGGCTTTGTCTGGAAGGTCGTGGGGACAGTCATTCCACTGTTTGGCCGTTTGGTCAATTTGCATATTATGCTTTTATTATTATAGATATTTCTATCCCACATGGTTTAAGTATTTCTGAAAGTTAGTAAACAGTAAAAACTCGTTTATCTAGAATGACTTATTCTAAAGAGTATATGTAACAGATTTTACTTATTTAATTATGTAAATAGGAAAAACCCATATCATGGGTAGGTTAAGTCACAGTTTTGGAGAACATATTTAGGTTAATTTTAAAGGAGGGTACACCATGTACAATGATGGTAATGACCGTGGAATTTTAATAACACTCTTAAATTCCAGGACTCAGTCTTTGAGCCAAGTGTTTTGAAACCTGGCTTTAAGAATTCCTAAGTAACTCTTCTTGCTTATAAGGGTCCTAAGAATCTTCAATGCCAGGGCAAAGCAAAACTACACTCACAGAAAGTCACTTGTTTTCTTCCATTGCTCTGCTGAGGCTTAGATGAGAAAGCTCAAGGGTACAAAACCCAAAAGCTCAAATGTTTAAAATATCATGTTGCTCAGCTCTCACTGCAATCTCTTTCCTTTTCCCCTTCATCGCTTGTTTCCCTGTTTGTGCTGAATCCTGGGTAATGTCTGAGGCTCTGAATCTTTGGCTCTCTTAATACATGGTGGCATTTCTTTCAGCCAGGTTAGGAGTTAGACCTTCAAGCCCTGCAGGAAGCTCCGTGAATAACCACCACCTCCCTGTGGGCGGATGAAGCCTGCTCCGCACAGGATGCTCCTGCTGGAAGGAGGAAGAGCCTCCTTGGGAATGAGCTCCTCTGCGAAGATCGTCATGAAGTTACTGACGAGGTTGAATGAAAGACTTGGAAAGAACCCATTATCAGAAAGAGGCAAAAGTTCTTCTGGGTCAGGACCTGTTTCATCTGTGAGATGACGGAGGTCCCGGGGAGATCCAGGTTTTCCTCGGGACTTCTTTTAAGCTCGAAGCCCCGCATGGGATACAGGCCGGTGTAACGGCTGGCGGCAGCAAGGATGGCAAGGACAACAGCAACGGCCTGGAAACTGAGCACCATTTCCATGTCATCAGAGATAAGGCCACAGAAAAGGATGCTTGTAGATCCTGCCAGTGCAGCCATTGGTTAATTTAATAAGCCGAGGCCGACTTTCATGTCTAGTGAAAACCTCAGCAAACAGGGCACACTCTGCTTGCTGAATAAAGGTGGGCATGCTCCGGAAAGCACACAATGATGCCATCAGGTGACATCCACTGAGCCAGTCACATTCGTGATAGTATTTCCAGGGGAACCAAGGAAGCAGGAAGGCTATTGCATATAAAGTGGCACCATACAAAAACACAGCTGTGACAGCTGGAACAGCAGACGGCTTTCGAGTTATTGTAAAAATACCCATTAAGAGCATTCCAGATCATTAAAATTATCTAGAAGGGAAAAAAAATCGCGTTATTTTAGTGTAGTTAACACTGATGAAAATGACCCTTGGATGTTTACTTAATATGATCGAACAAAACCTGACCATTTAAAACACTCAGTGGTCAAGGAACTAACTGGGGCGCCTGCAGACATATTAACATTAACTGTGGATGCCACTCAGAGCCAGTGCGCGTTCACTTTGTGTTTAGCATCATTGCGCCAGAGTTTACATAAATTATTTTATTAAACCCCTAAACGATCTTGAGAAGTAGGTGCAGCTATTACTCCTACTTTACAAAAGAGGAAACTGAGGGCCAGACAAGTTAAGAAACTTGCCTACCTAGTAAGTAACAGAGCCCGGTCTGACCCAAGGCGGATGGGAAGCACTCAGAGTCCCTACGCTAGACGGCCTCCCACAAATACACAGGGCCACGCCTTAGCCAAGAGGGTGGCCTGTGCATACACCGCGGCATAGTTTCACGTAATTTCCTGAAGAAAGGTTAAAATCTCATTGTTGCTAGCCAAGACCATGAGCTGAGTTACAATTTGTGGACACCCTGGGACTTTCCGAGACATAGAATATCCTCACAATGATTCTAATTGTTCCACGTAAGAGAATTTTCCAGGTAGCCAAAGCTGACCCTTTGAACTCTCTTTTATATTTTAAATGGCAGTCCTTTACAAATCTCTCTCTTCCCTCATACAGAGGACCTGGGACATGGCTACTCTTGTCTTAGAATGTCTTCCAGCTGTGAGAGGAATTGGCTCTTTGGAGAATCACACGAATGCACAACTGTGAGGAAGAGAAACTGTCCCAGCTGAAGGGACAAGAAGGGCTCTGTCTCACCTGGGCTTGGGAAAAGGCCACTTCTGAAATCTTGTACAGATGTAAAAAACTTCACAGAGTGAAAATCGAAGAAAGAATTTAGCATTTCAATCCCTAACATTATCATAGAGTAAGCCCAAGCAATGGGCTTGGTACTTAAAAGTGTCATTTTTTCCATGCAGATTTCTCCTTCTCCTTCTTTCTCCTTCCCCTTTCCCTTCTCCTTCTTTTTTTTTTTTTTTAAAGGAAACTGGTCAACGTTTACTGTTTGCATAAAATAGCTGATGGGTGCCACAATTCCACTGGACACTAGTTAACTTTGAGTCCATACACACTAAGCTATGATTATATACACAGACTAAACACTTTATTCTCTGCATTCACTCAACATTTTTGAGCTGTTGCCAGAAACCCTAATTTGCATAGAGTATGACTCTACTTGAATATGTCTTAATATATTTTCTAATTTATAAAAGTAAGACTTATCCAAGATTTAGACATGCTTAACTCGTGGCCAGGGAGAGGCATTTATGATATTACTAGAGGCCCACTGCACTAAATTCATGCACAGGTAGGGTCCCTAGTGGCTGCCAGCTGGTGCCTCCCTCCCCCACCCCAACCCCGGCTGCCTGCCACCACTGCTGGCTGGGGTGGGGCCAGTAGGGGGGAGGGATCAGGGGTGGTTGGCTGGCCAGCCCTGCCCCCTGGTGGAATGAGTGGCCAATCAGGGATGGAGCTGACTGGGGGAAGGGGTCACATACCAATCAGAATGGTGGGGGCCCATCAGAGGCAGGGCTGGCAGCGGGGGAAGGGTCACAGGTGTTTGGTTGGCCCTGCCCCTGATCAGGGTGGGGGGGCCCACCCTGGCTTGTGGCTGAACAGAGCTTCCCCTTGTGGGAGTGCACTGACCACCAGGGGGCAGCTCCTGCACTAAGTGTCTGCCCTCTGGTGGCCAGTGTGTGTCATAGTGACCAGTCATTCCCAGTCGTTCTGCTGTTAGGGTCAATTTGCATATTACCCTTTTATTATATAGGATTGTCCATCCTACCTGGAAGGGTGCACAGAAAAGAAACAATGAGGTGGCATCCTTTAACTAAAGCCAGAGAGAAGGGATAGAAGCAAGCCCTTCATTTTAATACAAAGTTCTCCGTTCATTTTAATATAAAGTTCTCCATTCAGTAGTACAAACTTGTATTTTTTTGTTCATAAGTAAAGTCAGTTTTATTAATAGATTTCCATATGTCCAGAGCAAACAATAAATTCCAAAGGAAAAAACCTACACACAGTGAAACTGGAAGTATCCCAGGGTGACAAAAAATATATATAAATATGTACACCCACAATCACTGCCACCTCCAAAAACCTTTAGTCTTCCGACCTTTCTTGGGTATCTTCTTCTTCTTAATAGGATTCTGATCCTCATCAAGATGAGGGGTTCCTCCTGTCAAAGCACTGATGTCACTGAAGTGCGCGAGAGAATGAAGCTGTGAGCTCAGGACATCTGAGCGTTTTCGTCGTCCTCTCTCTCACTCACTGACACTTAAACGCACCATCACGCTCTCCTCATAGTTAATCCTGTGTTGATACTCCTGACCCTGGCGAGTACCATGATGACGCTGGGCATCACGGATTTCCTCTGGAGCATCTGAGGTCCTGCTCCTTAAATTCATGAATGACAGAGCTGCCAATGCTCACCTCTGGGCTCATTCTAGACAAGGGGTGGGCAACCCTTTCGTGAGTGCGTGCCAAAACCAGCAAAATCTCTGACTCAAAATTCTTCTGCGTGCCAACCCTAATTTTTTGAGAACATGTTACGCCTACATCTCTTAAGGTGTACATATGTGAAGAACCTTGAAGAAATAATAAAATTCATTCACGCGACAAAAACACAGTATGATGATGAAAAATACATTTTTTTAATGTATCCATGTTATGTAAAATTATTTATTTATCTAAGATGCACCTACACTGAATTTATCTGAAAAATAAAAAAGTTGATATTAAGAAAAAAAATTGTAAATGAAAGATTATAAGAGAGGGTTTCACGTGCCAGCAAATTTACTGGCGTGCCATGTTTAGCACGCATGCCAACGGTTGCCCACCCCTTCTCTAAAGTAAGAATCCTTACTTAGGAGAGCTTTCTCATATGGAAAGCACCTCAACAGCATGAATCAGTGCCAAAAAAGGGCAGTTATGTCAACAAAAGCAACTGAGTGCCTTCTGGATGCTGCTCAAAAACAGTTAATTTGGGGGAAATGAATTATTCATCGAGCCCTTTGTAAATTCTATTATTTAAAAATTGAACCATTTTTTGTTTTGTACTTACTTAAGCAATCATCATTGTGATCAATTCAGTTTAGTAGTTCAATATACGTGGTTGACTTTGAACTATTTTCTAATACTTTATTTAGTACATCCCTCTTAAAGACTTCCAGTTTCTTTTCAAAAGCCTTTATGTAACCAAACATAACATCAAGTGTCTTGCCAGTTCCTTGTAATTTAACATTTAAGTCATTCAAATGTTCACAAAAATTGTAAATGGAAGATTATAAGAGAGGGTTTCGCGTGCCAGCAAAAGTTACTGGGGTGCCATCTTTGGCACGCGTGCCAGGGGGTGCCCACCCCTGTTCTAGATGCTTGTTCTCCCGCTCAGCCTCTATTTCATCATAATGTACTGGAACAAAGCGGGTGGAACATATTTCTTACTGCTCCATTTGCGGATTTCTTCCCTGAAGCCTCAAACTGTCCTTCCTCCGTTTCATCTTCCTCATCCTCAGAGCTCAACTTGATCATCATATTGCTGGGATGAGGCATAAATCGAGTGGGTCATTCTCACTGAGGCAGCCCATCACTGTAGTCATGAGCAGTTTGTCAATTGAATGCTTCAGTTTTTGGTCCATGGGACGAAGTTTTTCCAAAACAGTGCGAATCTCCACCAGTCTCAACACTGCAGCATGTCCCTGAAGAGACCCTCTGAGGCTTTGTCCAGCATGAGATGACTCATCCACAAGGTACATGAGCAGCAACTGGTCTTTCAGTTCCAAGAGGCTGAGACCCTCTCTGTAGGATAGGCTCTAGCTTGAACTTTTTTTTTTGTCAGAGCTTGAACTTGTGCAGTTGCAGCCATACCTGCTCCTGGAGGTTTTTCAGAAGGGCCACCGCTCTCGGCAGGTCTGACTCCAGCACCACCATCGTCCCAAACTTGTATTGAAGATTTATTTATTTTTTCTCCTGACAGACTATATAGTTTTGGCCCAAAGGACATACCTAAGACGGATATAGAAAAAAACACATCCTGATCCTTGTTCTGATCAATGTCCCTCTTAAACCTGGCGATTGTCTTATTCTTCCTATGACGTGGTTTACTCCACTGGAAAACAGGAAAAGGTTAACCAAGCTAGAGGTAGGCATAGATTCATCTTCCTTTTCATCTTGATGGTAGTTTTAAAATAACACCATGAGTTTCCTGTTTCATCCCTGCCTTACTGGAACACTGATCTCCACAATCTTCATTGAATCAGAAAACAAACAAATATTTAGATAACTTGAGAGCTGTAAATTGCTTGAATAAGCCTAGGGAAATAAGCAGACACTGCAGTCTGTATTGCCTGATTTCTAAGGGAATGGAGGGCAAATCTGGTGGGGAGAGGGTATGTAGCTCAAATGATCAAACTACCAAGTCCCTGAGCTTCACTTTGCATTGGGGAGAGAAGAGAAACTGTCCTCCAAGAATAATTCCAGGAAAATAGGGCCCGAGAATTACCACAAGTGGCTACTAAAACCCTATGTAGACTATGCAGACGCAGGCTGAATAAAGAATATTTTGCCCATATGTGTACTAGTATTCTTACAATGTTTGTAGATGCAGCTGTAATGAGAAAATACAAACCTGAATTTTTTTGTCATTATGCAGTGTTTAAACACTTGAAATATACAAGTTTAAAAACTTGAATATACAAGTACTATTATGTGGATGTCAGCCAACATTTTTGGCTTTCAAGATAAATTCTCAGATTTGCCAAAGCTGTGAACTACTGGTGAAGACCTCACTCTTGGGAGTTACGTTTGGCATAAGTGAGAAGAAAGATTGAGGCTAGAGGTTACCGGATTACTAAGAGGGCCGAAAACAAGAGTCAGAAAACCCAAAAGCCAATGTACAAATTTAGCCCAAATTTAGATTCTAGACACTCTTCTTTTCCTTAGTTTCATTTCAGGCATGCTACAACTTGAAGCACGCCACACCCTCTCAACTGACCTATCATTAAGCCAGAAGGCAGGAATTTAGAAACTCCGAATTTTGCAAAGGGTCATAAGCTTGCTGAGTTGAGATCAAATTTTTAAAAAGAATTTGAGTTAAGCATCCATCCTGGTTGAAATATGTGAATAGAAGGTTTAATAACACTACGAAAATTCTATAGCCTGAACTTCTCTTTCTTTGTACATGTGAAGAAAAATCTTCCTTATTTCAACTTGCAAAAGAACTATCAATGTTTTATTTTCGATTGCCATCCTAATACTTATTTCTGTAAGTAACTGACTTACAATTTCTGTTAAGTATCACCACTTACAATTTTTTTAAGCCACCACTGCTACATAAAGACTCTCCTTACCTGATTTTACAATAGCAACAAAACATAGAACAAGAATATTTTATCTTTACAACCAGGGGCAAAGGACCTCTGGTTCCTCTTTACCACAAAGCGTTTGAAAGGGGCAAAATGGTGCCATGATTGGCCTGGGCAGGGGCATTAAACACCACCGGGGTTGTTACTCATTAACCTCCTACGAAACCAAATGTTTGCCGCTGAAGAGACTGCTCCGGATTACTACTCAGCTAAGCAGGCTCCAAAGGAAGGCTGGCAACCGCAAAGGCGGGCTTTTAGCACTGAAAGCTAACATCTTTTCAATGCTGTTGTAGTTCAAGCTTTTCCAGGAAAAAACAAACAAAGAAAAAACTTTCCTTTAAACAGTATCCTTAAAAAGAACGCACTAACACCAAAAGGCAGAAAGCATGGCGCTTTTTTTTTCATTTTAAACTATCAATAACTTTAATTCTCCAGGTCTTTCTCTTTCTTTCTTTTTTTTTTCTCTCTCTTTCTTTTGAAGGAGAATGGTAAAGAATGTTTCAGTACACTTTCCCATTTGGGGTCAAAATGAGCTATTTGTCAT